TCTCTCTCTCTCTCTCTCTCTCTCTCTCTCTCTCTCTCTCTCTCTCTGCTTGTATCTAAGTGCATGTGGGTTCTGTGTTTGTACCCTCGCAGCTTTGAACTGTAGAGGTAATGATTAAAAGCCTCCAAGAGCTTTTCAGAAGCGTGCCGCAGTGCGCTCTTCTAATACTCTCTTCCTGTCTCCATAAAGCCACATGAGCCACGATGCACTAATGTTTGAAAGTTACCGTACGAGCACACAACAAACAAACGTAAGCACCGCACCTACACAGCACACATTCTATGATCCTGGCGAAGATTATGTCTGAATAACAGAAAGAGAGAAAAAAAAAAACCCTGGATATTTTATATTTACTCCTTTAATATAGATATAAACATATAGAGTGATGGAAGGTTCTTTTGTAATATAGCTGTAGACATCCAGTTCAACTGCTCAAGTCATCCCACTAATGTTAACATGTACAAAATGTGTGGACAATGGTGTGTACTCGGCAGAGTCGAGCTCCAGTGAGACTCCAGCTGGCGTGAAAAATCCCCTGATTTAATAAGCCTGCTCTATTAACTTCTGCTTCATAAAAAAAGAAAAGAAAAGATAAGTGAAATTTAATTACAGTTTGGGTGGCAGATGGCAAGAGCGCCAGTATACTGCGCGCTCTCTTGGCTTGGTGGCAGGTCGGCGGCGGCGGTGCTGGTGAGAGCGTGTCGCGCAAACACTGGCAGCCGCACGAAGATGGAGACAGAGGGAGGCAAGTTTCACATACTGGCAGCAGCACAAGAAGCACTGCTAAATAAATATGAGAAATATCACACCGTGGCAGCAGAGCTGTGGATTGGATTCTAGAAATTTGGCATCCACACACAAATGGAAAGTTAATGGGGAGAGAGGTAAGGGTGCTTAACAAAACCTGGCAACTTGCACCTGGGATCTAGACTGCTGAGGGGGGATTTCACTCTCTGTGTAATAGGCAGTATTTATCTCCATTTGCAAATGTTAATTCCCCTGTATGGGAACCGGATTAGAGTGGAGCTCAATGGCACACATCAGAGCAGCACTGGAGAAGTAACCTTTACATCACAGAGTAGGAATCAAGAGCTAGAACGGAGAGGAGAGGGAAACCAGTGCGGGTGGGTTCGCACTGTGTGTTTCATCACGCAGATCGCCAGCGACACGGCATATTCGCTCACACGCTCGCTTGAGAATGAAGATGAACGGGTGGGAGGAGGAGGAGCCGCGCAATGGGAGGTCGTCAACTGAAGCTAAAGCTGCACTTCCCCATAAACTCCTGTATCCCTGCCAGCTGCCTCCCTCAGGAATCTGATCTCACACGAGAGAGTGGAGCTCTTTATGCAGCGTTATGGCGCTCCCAGATGGTGCGTGTCTGAGTGTGTGTGCGCCGATGGGTGTTGAATTAAGTTTGTTTGTTTGTTTGCCTGCATTTGTTTCACACTGACATACATCAGTGAACTCTGTGTGTGTGTGTGTGTGTGTGTGTGATCGCCGTGGAGGCTCGTTCCTCCGCCATGTGCTCGTGGGATTCTCAAACGGATCTGAAGCTATACTCTCTACCTCTCCGTTACCGTCCCGTGGGGATCGAGCACAAAGGCCTGCCGAACCCGCTGAGACGGGCGGAGAGGTACCATAACAACACTCTGCTCATGCTCGTGCACCTTTACGACGTCCCGTCTGCTGCTTTGCGTATTCACGCACCACCCCTGTCGCAACACTTTTAAGCCACAAATCAAGGTCTTTTCACAACACCGTCCCTGTTCTGAATGCGTTTGTTTGATTTTATAACGAATGAGATAAGCTGTGGAAAAGGAAATGCATTGTCTTTCATGTGCTGATGTTAGGAACGTTTCATGCAATCTGTAAAATCCTTGGAAAGTCCTTGGCGCGCCAGATATTAAAGGCAGGAGAGTAGAAGTGGCTCTCAAGTATGTGGTCCCACTTGCTCTTCCCCACTCATCACTAACTGGCTAACGACAGAGGAATGCTAATGCTCGTCTCAGCATCTGTTAGCGCAAGACACTGCATGAATGCATGTGTGTTAGAGTGTCTGTGTGTGTGTGTGTGTGTGTGAGACCCGGTTCACTCGTGCACTGTGGCCCCTATGAAGGTCGCAGCTGTCCGATAGAAGGCCGCGGGTGGCAACGCAAGCTGGCGCTGCCAACCATCGCTACCCTATCCTTAATTTCACCTTCTCCGTCATCCTCCGTTTTTTAACACTCTACAGACTTGCTTTCCCCTCTTTATCTCTCCTCACGTCTTTCCTCCTCTACTTTTACTTTACCATCAGTCGCTTACTCTGTCTGCACTTCATTAGTCAGAGGTCGATCAACTCTCAAGAGGGCAGACACGGGGAGAGGGGGAAATGAACAGTTTGGCAAATGCTGACAAACACACTAAATGTGCGCGCTCACGACGTAGCCGCAGATGCACACGGAGTCGCTTTCTGAGACACTTTAACCGGCTCCAGACAGGCAGTGACGGTGCTGCAACAGGATAAGGTCAGCGTCCTTGAGTCTCTTAAAAGCCTCTCCGTCGTGCCGTGGCTGAGCTGAATATGTCCGCTATGATGTCTAGAAAAAAAAAAAAGGAGAGCTGCAATTTGCTCGACACAAATTATTCCATCAATGGCTGAATGGGTTGACCCGGGCTTTTGATTGAGTTTGATAACGGCTCAAACGTACCATGCTTTGAAAGTGAAGTGCAGCGAAAAGGTTGATTATATTCTCTCTGAGCTCCACGATCACAGAGGAAATAGGCAGATTAATCACAAAATAAGAGATTTGCTAGAATATTTAAGGCAGGCTTCTGCTTCATTCAATGCGGCAGCCTGCATATCAAATCTCTCAAACGTCTACCTCTCAAATATATTTGACTGTACGACTTGACTTCAGAATTACATTTCTCAAAGTTTTCACGGTCACTCTCGTGCACACACACACACACACACACACACACACACACACACACACACACACACACACACACACACACACACACACACACACACACACACACACACACACACACACAGCTCCCCGTCTCCCGTCCTTGCGTCTGCCACTGAGAGTTCAAAAGAATGATGCTGCTTTTTTCTCTCCCTCTCGATCCTTTTCTCCCTGCACGCTTGCCTCGCCGCTCTGCTAATTTATTCTTTTTCTGAGTAAACATCCACTCCGCTCACAATCAAAGAGAAAGCCAAACAAGGAAACAGAACTGAACCAACAGAAACCCCGTTGGAATTGTAAAGACTGCACACTCAAGCAGAATGCTAAAGTTGCCACTGGAAGCGAGGGATTCTGTCAAAGACAAAGGTTAGGCGAGTGCAGGGCCGCAGTCAATTCCCATCAGACAATGTTTTTACCGAGGTCAGAGTTAATTAAAATCAAACAGTGTTCTCCTTCTCAATTTTAAAAGTGAAGGTTTTTTTTTTTTTTTCAAAGTCAAAGTGAACATAAATCTTCCCAAATTGTGAGGAGGGAAACAGTTGAGAAAGGGTACATTTTACTGGTACAGACTGAGATTTAATTCTCAAATAAAGTGTGTGAGATTCTGCCTTCGGCTTTTCGTACAATGATATCCAATTATCAGTCGTGCGCACACACGCACACATTCACACATAGTCTGACTCACACATTTTTCCTCCCATTTCTAATTATTGTGATAAACAGCTTTTGACATGGAAGGCTAACTCTTACAAATACCAGGACATCTCCTGTTTAGATAGCCACGGCACATTGTAAAGCTACATAGACTGTAGAGGATAACAAAACCCCTCAGTGCACTGCAAGAAAGGGACACATCAATCTCGGAGACAGGGGACTATTTCCACCCTTGTTAGCTTATTTTAGACAAAGGTGGGGGCAAAGGAGCAGGATGTGTTGCTCAATCTGCCCCTTTAGATGAACTCATTCATTCGTCATTGTTTTCTTAACGAAGAGATTATGAGCCTATACTCGGAGCGGGGTGAGAAATGTAATGGGTAAGTATTAGGCTCGTGTAGTGAAAGATTACATGCGAAAAATATGTTTTTTTAAGACTTCCAAAGTTTTTTATTCCATATTGCTTTCGTTGACATTTACAGAAGCCTTTAAACTTCACCCTTGTTTTTATATCTTTAACCACATTTTTAATGAAAAACCCAGCATCCACAGGCACCTCGGCCTTCAAGTCTTTTATTCCTTACACACCTCGTGACCCCCCATCCACCTCCATCAATCATTTCCTAATCCATAATACCTTCCCCACTACCATTTATCCACCTCTTGTCCATCCTTTTTTAAAAATCTTTTTCTTCTCACTCCGGCTCTGGCGCACGCTCGCCATTTCATCATAATCCCAAATAGTTCGTAATCATCATTTCTCACCTTTTAAACCCTCTCTCTCATCTATTCCGGCATCTCCCACACTAAGCCTCTGGCACGCGTGGCTACCAGCAGGAAGAAGTCCATGCTGCAAAGTTTCGGTGACAACCAAAATGAGGTTCAACAATCTAACACTATGATAACGCGATACATTCATATTTGAAAGTATGCAGCTTTGAGAACTATCTTTGAACGGTTACATAAAGACTACAGTAATGGATGACAACCTATCATTACCTCCTCTATTATTTTACTCCTACCACCATTCGAAGTGAGAACCCTCAAGATGCATCTGAGAAAGGCTTTTTATTCCCATCTACTTGAGTGGAAAACCGTGCTTGCCATACCTTGGATCTTTGAATTCAAATGCTAACCTTGAATCCTCCGTTTAACTGTTAGACAGTTGTAGATCCCTTTGAGTCTTGTACTGCTACGTACTCTACTGTGCTTTTGTTGCTGTAGCTTTTTTGAACTAGACTATCACTTTTGTGCATTGGTGTCAAACCCTTCAAGCTCTCGATCTCTTTCTTATCGCAAAGTCTTTCTCAGCTGCACTTGTCACTGCATGACAACAACAACAAAAACAAGTTATTAAAGTTTGTGATCACATCTGAAAGAATAAACACTTACTCTGTCATCAATCGCCCTTTTTCTTTCTCACCTTCTTCTGGTCCCTCCATCTTTCCTCCAGCGTGGCATCCAGGCAGTTGGCGGCTGTCGCCCACTGCTGTGCGAGGCGGCGGATTCGGCGCTTCATGAAGCTGAGGGACTCCTTCCCTGCCCCGACCTGGTCCAGCAGCACAGAGAGGTCAGTGCGGAAGGCAGCCTGGGAAGGTAATGGATTGAAAGTGAAAGGAGGGATGGAAAGAAGTGAAGAGAAAGCGTGAGAAAGTAGTAATCAGGCAGAAAGAGTATACCACAGTGGATTGAAACTTTTGCAGCAGCACTATGGCTGTTAATCTCAGGCTTTTAGCTACGCTAGTGGCCTAACTCTAGGTATGGCAGTGTCAGTGGGTCCACCACTTTGGTCTCTAGACTGAAATATGTCAACAGCTACAGGATGGATTCCAATGAAATTTGGCTGCAGATATCTGTGGTTCCCAGTGGATAAATCCCACTGATTTTCATGACCCCCTGACTTTTTCCCCACCGCCATCAACAGCTGGACATTCTTGGTTCAGAGTGAAATGTCTCGATAACTGCTGGATGGGTTTACCATGTGATTCGGTGTAGACATCCATTGGCTTTTTTGAACTTTGGGGATTATCTGATGTTTCACCTCGGTACAGAATTCCGTTGGTTTTCTTTAGCCGTTAGCATGGCTGTAGAGTTTGACTTTTATCTTCTATTGACTAGCTTGGGTAGGTAACATTAGAGAAAACCAGCAAGAGTAAGTTGGATTAAAAACACCCCAGTGATGCCAGCTCTTTTCCAATGAAAGTAGCAGCAGAATTAGCTCCAAAAGTTGCTAAATGTAGCGCGAAAGTCACCAAGTCGGCAGCCCCTCCCTTCATGCCTCCCTCCAAAGCCACTACCTTCACAATATCATAATGTTCGTAAACAACCAACATGGCTATTGTTGGTTCATTAGCTAGCAGACTGTAGAAGACTCCGGAGATACACAAAGAGTGCGTACAATCATGTAATTTGTCCCAACAGGCTAATCACAGTCCTGTGACAGCCGGGGATACCGGATTTTCTTTTTCTTCCTTTTTTTTTTGTCAGAGAATTATTGATTGCTGTCAGGATGTAAAAAAAATGTCAAAAAATATAACAAAAATGTTTCCAGAATATGTTATCCACCCTAGCTTTAAAACACACTGCACAGCAATAAAATAAAATAAAAGATGTGAAAAAAGAGTCATTTTCTGATTCAACACCAGTGGATGTAACCTGTGCATGTAAACGTTCCACTTGTGTGTTGGTAATTCTGTATTCTCTGCAAATGCAGGGAAACACTTACCGAAAGTGTTTTTTTTAAAGAACAAACCCTTTTGCAACACGATGCAGTATTTTCCCTGTCAATGTTAATATTTTACAGAAGTATGACAGAGTCCTCAGAGAACCGTGTTCACTTAGCCATTTGTTTTACTACAGTATTCAGAGGCTGGCTTTAGTTCCCCCTGTCAAAGAAAAGTTACAACAGCATGCATTTTCTAACTAATGCTCTGAACACTCAATGCTGTTCTCCTCTGAGAACAACCTTGGCTCAGCCTTGTTTGTGTGCGAGATACAGGAAGACTGTAATCCGCAGTCCAGTAATTTGGGTCACAGGGTAAGATGGAGATATCAGTCTTCATTTACAGTGACATTTTGCAATACCTCCTGAAAAACCGCCTTTCTCACCCTCAGGAGTAGCTACATACACAGGTTATCAACTTCTCTCTAAAATACATGAATGTGAAATTTCCTGTTATCTTATCTCTTTTCAGTTATCGGTATCGACTAAAAAAACAGTCCGTATCATGCATACTTTAATTCAAGTATTATTCCACAATTTTCAAAGTCAATGTTGAGGAAAATAGAGGGTGGAGGAAAACAATGAGGAGGATCAGGCCGGTTTTAATTAGCAGAGAGTGAAGAGGGTCAGATTAAGGTTAACTTTTATGTAGTAATGAGGGTCTTTTGAACAGAAGGACTGTTAGCACTCCTATTCTCCCTCTTTTGAATGGTACTGTGGACATGTGACTGACAACTTAATGACACCCATTCATCACTCTCTTCATTTATAATTTTCTCTTTCTTGTTATCACAGACTCCCGAAAGCTGGAAATAAAAAAAGAAGGCAACAATTTGGGACTAATAATAGAGTGCGAAAAAAATATTTTGTTATGGTATTTGTCATTTGGTAAAAACAGTAAATAATTACAACAAAACATTGGACACAAGACAGTATTTGTCAATTTCAGCAGCTAAATAAAAACAACATCGCTTTGTCAAAGTCTTTTCTTTTCCTCACTCTGTTCTCTACTCCCTCGACTTTACAGGACTAAAGATTTGAACTGAGCACGCTTGGAAAGTCTGAGCTATAGTTAGTATATTTTATATGGCATTTTTCAGCAAACGGAGGTGAAAGGTGAGGTGTCCGTGAAAGTAATAGCCACAAATGGAGAGACCAATATCCTGCTAACAGAGCAGCAGGTCCTCCGCTGTCTTGGCAACAGATCCAACATTATATTTAAATGCAGTCTGTACTATTTCCCCTGAAATATACTACCGCTGAGTCGGTTTAAATGATTAACTTGTGGTCATAACATTACTGTAATAGGCGTTGTTTATGGAGTCAAGCTGTGTTTATGTGGCCTATGTAAGTAGTTGCTAGCTGCTACTTTTGTAGTGCATGTAAGCGGTATTGTTAGTTGCTACGTTGAGGTGGTGAGCCAAACAAAATCACTCGTGTATTTACTGTACATCTTCACTGTCAACCAGTAGCCTTCATCCACTGTGCATAGGGTTGGGTATCGGTCCAAAATAATCCTGTACCAAGTACGATTGCATTTGATCCTTTTTCGTGCCTAGATCTAGACAAAAAATTACAATTTGTATGGTTTTGCTAACAGTCAACACCACAAGTGTTCTTCGATACAACCCATACAGACCCAGCTCTAACTGTGCATGTGCGTTCCTCAATATACCTGTATGTCTGTCCGACAGATTTGTTCCTCTCACCTGTCTCTTGGGGGCCTTTGGCTGCAGTACATACTGGGTGGGGAGGCTGCTGTGGTTCCTCCAGGCCAGCGGGGGGCAGAACCACTCCACCTCGCTCAGGTAGACGAGGAAGGAGCAGTCTGAACCGTCCACGCCGTAGAAGGCGTAGCAGGGGTCCGATGTCCAACGTGCACGCATCCACTGGACGGTACCAACAAAATCATATAAAGGGATTATAAACTATTTTCTTTAACAGTGGTTACAAATCCCCAGGGATGTGCACGGAGGATTTGCTACTGGGCTGCAAGGAAAACGTAAAACTCAGCAGAAAAAAAAAAGCTACATAAATTTACAGCTATTTTTGCTTTAATTACCCTAAACTTTGCACGGTTTGTCTCTAATGTGTATTTCCTCATCACGCCATGTAACACCTCCCACCAAAGTTATTTTGAAGTAGCAACTCAGAGGTACAAAAGGTCTAGCATGTGTTTTATAATATCTTAAAACTTTATTTTGGTTGTCACATCCTTGTTAATAGCACTTGCTGTACCACCACGACTGAAAATAACCTATGAACACTCACATCTACTTTCCCTGGGCACTCAGGAAAGCGGAGGTCTCGTGGTACTTCACACTGGCTTGACGTCCCATCTCTCACTGCTGAAAAGACACAGTGAGTGAAATTCAAACATTGGTAATAAAACATGCACATACGTTTTTGTAGACTTAACGAACCGGGATCCACTCCCATTTTTTAAATATCAAGCTAAATGAAAAATCCATATATGACTCCTGTGAGTGAGATATTTTACTTCACCCACAATCACAATTAGTCTAGGCTTAGCTCTCTTAAGTCAGTCGGCTTTTAATATTAATTTAATATGAAATAACTATTCCAACAGTAAGCATGCAGCCAGTGTACGATCATCCATCAGCTCGTTTATCAGCATATGGTGCACGTCAAAGCCTCTTTAAAAAAAAAATGCACGTTTTACTTTTTTATTAAAATCATTTTCAAAAAGTGACTGGAGACATGAACTCGTCTGACCCGCAGGCTCAACCCCTCAGAACCGCCAGGTTACAGTGTACATTAACGGCTTTGTTGCACTCGCCTGTGAACGTTTTTATGGCAATCCTCGCTTCCTCCATCATCGTTAACATCATCGCTTCGAGCGTATGCCATATGCGCCGTCGGTGCCCATAAATCCCCGCAGTTTCCTCTTTCGCAACATCGCATTCGTATCTACTCTACTGCAGTGCACACTATTCGCCGGGCCTGACACACACTCATACATGCCCCGTCTCCCCGCTGCTGCCAACCATCCTAGGGTTACGCTCACAAATCCGTCTGCTCACTTAGGCTACACTCACTGCATTAATTGCTCCACTGACTTAGTTAACTGCTCCTCTGCTGCCGATGTGAGGAAAAGAAGGGAAGAGAGTGACAGATATAGGAATGATGTCGTCCAAAAAGAAAACAAATCCAGGTTCAATTTCTCATTGTTTTTCTGTCTTGCAATCCCCCACCCCTTTTTTTTCCTCTCTCTCTGGGCCAACACATTTGCCTTCTCTCTTAGGTTCCGTTCGTTTCCATTTGCCTAATGAAAGAGAGACATTTCTCCACATAAGTCTTTCCCGGGGCTTCTCTCCAATCGACTGCAAACACTCACACACCGAGACACACACCGCTTTCCAATATGATTACAATAGCAACCACGGTAGGAACAATTGGAAACGTGGTCAACTAACTAGATCAAAACTTGACTGCTGTCCCTGCAAGACAGAATATAAAAGCCTAGTCGGTGCTTGAGGGGAAGGATATTCTAATCGCGTCCTCTTTCTCTCTCTCTCTCTCACTCTCTCTCTCTCCTGTCGCTCCCTCTTGCACATGCCTGACCACGAGATAAATAAACCGCCACTGAGCCGTATGATAATAAAGTCTGCCGGCAGTGTTTCAATTCATCTGTGATTAGAGAAAGCAGCAGTGTTTTCATTTTCCCGTGTGCCGTCGTCCCTGCAGATGCAGTGGGGTGAAAACAAAAGGAGATGTAACGCTCATTTATTCTCATGTAAAGAGTTGGGCAATTACCCTCAAGAGAAAAAGTGAGGGAGGAGAATAAGTTGGAAAGAATGATCATAATGTGGGCTGTATTTTTTCTGTGTGCAAAACTTAGGTTTTGATTAAAAAATGTGCAAGAGCAAGACAAGAGAACCCAACGTGGGTTGGATGGAAGCAATAAAGCAATGATGAGATATACAGAGATGTTCCACATGTAAAACAGAACAGTGCTGCCAAGATGACTACTCACATTTATCCGTCTTACTTTCATAAAAAATGAAATCAATCTGCTATCTAACAATAAGCTTTCCTGGTTTTGACTTATGTTAAGCTAGAAAATAAATGCTACAAAAAGGTGCAACTCTTAGACCTCAATGTTTTCAGAATGTTTTTGGGTTGATGTTTGATCGATTGGTTGATTACCTTTTTATTCTGTTAGATGTCTGAAATAATAATACGTGTCTTATAAAACGAGACGACAAAACGTCATCACGCTGACTCGCAGGCCTTTACAGCTTCGTTTTGTATACTGGCGCTCATGCGACCGTGATGTAGTTTGTTTATGTTAAAGCTTTTTACTTCTGCTGATTTCAATCACGCTTCGAAAATCCTAAAAGTGGTGTTCATTTGTGAAGATTATCTTACTGAACAAAACGTGTAAGCATCATAAACTTGTGTTCGCCACGGATCTTATGGGAATATCCCATTGGCTTTTATTTTTAGGGAACGAGTGCGATGCTAACTTCAAGGGTTGGCCTACAAAAGTCATCCCTCAGCGCTCTATTTACCAGTGTTGTTTATGGATTCAGTCAAGTGTGGCTAAAGTAACATAGACAAAGCCCAGCAGTTCATGAACAGCTTTTTATGTTCTGTAACTGTAGCATGAACGCATGGTGGAATTAGCAAGCCAGCTAGCTAAAAAGCCAGCAGCTAAATGAGTAAAATTTGAAGTTTAGCTCCAACACAAGCATGAGTCCAGCTGCGCTTCAAGTTACAACATTGCTGAAGAATAACACTTCATGTAACTTTGTCCTTTGCGGGGATGTTCTTAAGTTTAGAGTACACAATGCACTGCATTGTCCTAGATGTACCTCACTTTCAAGTAGTAGTTGGTATTGTGTTTCATTCTTCGCTGTTTTGGGGCCATTGCTAATATTACTTTCTTATTCCAGATGTGTGTACGTGCTGTGTAGTATTGTGAACTATTGCTAATACCATACTGTTGCTGTCACTAATATTGGGTGTCTGCCATGTGCGGACTTTGTCATTTTTTATTGCGTGTTGCTTTTAGTGTGTTTAGTGCTGATCTATAGCACGGTGTGGTCTCTAAAACCCCCCAGAGTCTGTCAGATTAGATGCTCTATGTATGTATTACACAGTCTTAGAGTCACGCAGTCATGACACTCGCTTCTTTTTTCAAACGTTATGCTTCCTAAATCATGTCTTAAGTATACATAATGTAAAGTAAAGTGAGGCGGTAAAGGCATTTCGCACCGATGATGATGATGATGATTGGTACCGTACCTCTTCCTTGCAACATGCTGTTTTGCAGTATCTGCTCCACCCTGGTAGCCATGTTGGAGACATTCTGAGCGATAGCTTGGATCCTCTCCACCAGGCCGGCTGGTTGAAACCTGCGCACACACACAACAACACACAACCGCAGAGTGAAGCGGGGACAAAGGCGTGCAGAAATGAGAGGGGAACTCGCATTGTTGTCACATAATGGAAACTCAATTTTGCTAAAAAGTCGAACTCGTCAGTTACTCCCACCTTTTAGTTGCGTCTCATTGTTGTCCCTTCTTTTTTTTCTCTCCCTTCCCCTCCCTTCCCTTTTTACATCCCGACAGATGTAGAAGTGTTAGTGGGAGATGCAAATTGTTAGACACTTGGTTGGAGCGTGAAATAGAAAAAGACCTGCGCTGTTAATACCACTTCCTCTGCAGGGCGAGAGACTTCCCGTTCACATAATACGATGGGTGGGAAATGTGTCTGTGTGTGTGTGTTGGTTGTTTGTGTCCGTGTGTGCGCGCTCATTGTAGTTCTGCATATTTTCGAAGCATCTGACTGCATGATTGCACATCACATGAAGCCAAGGCTGCACATCCACACATGTCCATACGGCTGTGCCCATTACGTCCATTCAAATGACTTGATTTCAGTGTGGATTGTGACTGTGTGCGTGTGTGTGTGTCTGAGTATGCTTTCCTGTTTCATCTCATCAGAGGATGGTATTAACCCTCATTAAAATCAGAAGATGAAACACAGCATAATAACAAATCATCAGTGATGATGATCAGAATTATTGATCGTGTGTGTGTGTGTGTGTGTGTGTGTGTGAGAGAGTGAGGCTTAAGTTTTCTAAATGCCAACAGCAACTGCATGAAAAATGAACAAAAAAAAAAGGGCCGAGGAAATAATGCGAGGAAAGTATGTTTGCTGCTTTACAAAGTGTAAACAAAAAAAGGAGGCAGCCATCAAAGTCACAGGCAGTCGCACGCTTCATTAACAGGTTTGTAAGTATCACTTGGAAGAATCGTTGAGTGTGTTCGCATTCAGTTTAATATGTTTACTTCAACAAAGAAGTCATTATTCTCTAGTGCAGGGGTGTCAAACATATGGCCCGCAGGCCGGATCTGGCCCGCCATGTCATTTTATGTGCCCCGCGAATCCGTCAGATTAAAAAAAAAAAGAAAAAAAAGAAATACAATTTTTTTATAATAATTTAAAGTTAGACTTGATAATAAAAATATTCCCATAGTCAAAATTATGAGATAGAAAGTCGAAGTTATGAGATAGAAAGTCAAAATTATGAGATACAGTCACAGAAGCAGCTCTTTGGCTGGTTACTCTACACTTGACATGGAAATGTATTGTGATTATATTGAAGACTACTTTAAATGTGGCTTTACAACAGACACACACTTCACGTGGGATTGTGCAAACGCACCCTTGAAATGATTTTAAGCATTGAACAAAGTTATTGTATTAACTTGTCTTTGATATTTTCTTTAATAGTTTGATCTTTGATAGAGTAATGTGGGTTTCTTAACCCTAAATTAAAAGGATTTAAGTTACAATAACAGAAATGTGCTGAAATATATATTTACATTTATATAACTGCATGTACAATATTTTAACACTTGAATAAACAATAATCAAATGCAGAGACAGTTATTTACCAATATGTTAGGAGTAGTTACATTTACACAGTCTTACATTTACAACCGGCCCTTTGTGGGCGACCGTGATGCTGATGTGGCCCAGAGTGAAGATGAGTTTGACACCCCTGCTCTAGTGCATGTATATTTTGGGGGCAACGGCTGTCTCCAAAACAACACAAAAAACAACACAAAAAACAACACAAAAAACATGTTTTGTGAGGTCACAGTGACCTCTGACCATTAAATTCCCAATGAGTGCAAATGGACGTTTGTCCCAAATTAAAAAAAAATAACCAACAGGCGTTTACTGAGATAGAACATTCACGAGAATAACGGATGGACGGACAACCTGACAAACATAACGCCTCTGGCCTAGGCTGTCCTGCGCACAAAGGCATTAAAAAAAAAATCAAAAAAACATTTCCAACCCCAGGCCGATGGATGCCATCCATTCGGGATCTAAATTCCCAGTACAAACGGTAATCAGTATTTCCTATCTTTATTCATAATTTAACTTATTAACTTCAACTTTCAGTTTGTACTTTCTATGTATATGATGTTTTTATGTACTGCATGTTTTTATCCTGTGTTTCTTTTTTTTCTCCACGGCGTGATTAAACCTCTCCAAACACGCTCAGCGTGAAAGCACCCTGAAACAGAGTTATCTCAATAAAAGCATCTGACAGAACTAATTATAATTTCACTCCCCCCATTGCGTGGGAGGGAAGCAAATACAGCATACGCGTTAGTGAAAGTTATTACCTTATATTGTCTTATAATGAGAGCCAGCATTATATTAGGCTATAAAATGATATTAAAATCCTTATTACATGGAGCATTTCACAGACGTTCCCAGCTGTAGAGAATTACCGCTACTGTGGTACCTAAAAGTTGCAATGTATTTTGCCTAAAGGATAAAAAGCCTTTGCTCGGTCAGCGGAGTAACCCCTGTTACTGTACAGCTCTCTTTGGGTGTGTGTGTGGGGTGAGGGGGGGTGTTTCACTGTGACTTTGCAGTTTGGCCTCTGTGAGACGTGACCTTCTAATCTCACCTCCAACGTCTGCTACAATGTGAACTCATCCCCGGAGATGAACACAGCGAGAAGTCATAGAGGGAGAGGCGAAGGGCAGAGAGATGTATGAAAGGCTGAGAAGGAACAGAGAGGACTGCTCAATGAGATCCAAAGGGGACGAGGACAAGAGACAGACAAGAGACACGTGAGAGTTGAGGAAAACTGGGGAAAAAAAATTAAAAAGCAGGCTGAAAAATAAAGAGGAGATCAACCCTCCACAGCTAACAGAGCAAGAGTACCGGTTATAAGAAAGCAGAAATAATAAAATAAAGAGATCCTCTGCGCCTTCGCGTGGAAGCCAACAAAACAGCTTGACTGAACCATTAAACGATGATTATGATCAAAGAATACAAGGATATACATATTTGATGGCCCACAGTTGCGTGCTACTTGCAATGAAGCCTCCTCCCGTCTGATGACTGTAGACAGTTGGCTCTTTTACAAATGAGGGGAACAAAACAGAAATGAGGAAGAGCAAAGAGACGACAAAACGAGAGGAAAGTACAGGGGGGGAGCAGAGAGAGGAAATCCACTGACAGATGCCGGGCAGAAGTAGAACGCTCTGAAGGGAGGAAGATGAGAGGGAGGCGGTAAGAGAAAATCAATGATAACTACAGGGAGAATTTCTAAGGATACAAAAAAATGTGTTCTTGTGCTCTCCTTCTTTCTCCCTCCCCCCCTCTCAATCTAATGAGCTCATCCTCTTAAGGGAAAGAGGACAGTTCTGACAGCATCCCATCAGCCAAAGCTGTCTAGGGCAAAGAGATGCATGTGACAAGGCGTCGGCATGTCGGTCTGTGCGTTTTTTTTGCCACCGTCCTGACTTACTCCAGCCCGTGGCGTGGTGTTAAAGCATCACACTCCGACGCTTACTTTCCACACGCTCACAAAGGTCAACACACATGCATGAATGCACACAGACGCTCACAACCCAAATCTGTGATTTCATAAGATGGGAGACGTACGACGGCATTATTTAGAATTTAGAATTCTGGCTGAATTAGTACGACCAGCGAGATACCGCAACGGTCCGTCCCCGTAGCTGGCCCTCGATCTCCCTCCCGGGGAAGCATTTTCCCAGCTTTTCTTTTTTTTTTTTTTTTCTTCAAAAACGATGCAGCAGGTGGACTCAGTCTGAGGGGTGAAGTTACACTTTAAGTGTCCCCTTTGCTTTGCTGCCTACTTCCAGCAAAAGTGCAGTATGACAGTGACTTGAGTGCTGTGGAAAAGAATAAAGGTTGCTGCAGACGGAGCTTGGATGGGTGCTTAAGGAGGAGAAATAGGTAAAGCCAAGCCAGGGCAGTGATCTTCAGAGAGTGAGCGCCTCAGGGGAGACTTACCAATCTCCCCTCTCATCCGCTGCACAGCAAGATGGAGTGAAACAACTCTGCATCCTCTCCCTTCCTTCCCCCCCCCCCCCCCCCCTCTCTCTCTCATTTTTTTTCAGGTTCCCCTCCCTCTCTCCATTTTCTGCTCTAACGAGTGGCTGCCCCGTGGGCGAATCACAGGCTGGGGCCTCAGACATCAAGTCCCATTCGCCGCTACACGGGAGTGTGTCACGACCAATGAAGCTCAAACAGAGATGAGACTCCCGCCCAGTCTGTGTGTGTGTGTGTATCTTTCTGTGAATGCGTGCCTGACTGGCCTGGATTTGGGATATATTTTTATAAAGCTCTCTCCTCCCTTTTGCCCGTCTCGCCACCGGCCAAAATCACACTTTA